ATATAGATATATATACACACATATATAGATATGGTGGTATATATACATACATATATATACATATATATGTTTTACATGTATATAGAGAACAGTAGAGAAGTAGAGTTGCTTATTGATGTTTATGCTGTGAACCTCTTGGTCAGAGTCCAAAGTTAGCTGATTGTATGGAATATTCAGTTTTCAGAGCTCATAAATTTGCCTAAACCTGTTTGAGTTGGGTTTTCTGTTATATATAATCAAGAACAACTTAATAAATAGCTTATAATCTTGTGATTAATCTTGAAAGTACTGGTGTTAGTATTTTATTATTATTATTATGTTTGAGACAAGGTTTCACTCTGTCACCCAGGCTGGAGTGCAGTGGCGTGATTATGGTCCACTGCAGCCTCCATCACCTGGCTCAAGTGATCCTCTGACCTCAGCCTCCTGAGTAGCTGTGGACTACAGGTACATGCCACCCTACTTGGCTAATTTTTGTATTTTTTGTAGAGACAGGATTTCACCATATTGCCCAGGCTGGTCTTGAACTCCTAGGCTCAAGTGATCTGCCTGCCTCGGCCTCCCAAAGTGCTGGGATTATAGGCATGAATCTCTGTGCCTAGCCTCTAAATAATTTGTAAGTCTGTTTTTTTACTTTTTATTTTTATTTTTTATCCAGGAGTACTGCTATATAATTTGTAATCCTGATTGCATTAGGATGGCATGTTTAATTTGTTCTGCAAATATTTAAGTCATTTTGATATAGAAATCTATACTATTTTCAGGTAAAGATGAACTCATACAATGTTTTAAAGCTTTTGTTATTATTACTCTCTAGAAATTTACAGCACTTTTATGACAAGTATCTATGTGAGAAGTGCTAGAATACAACTTCTTTTCTTATGTGAATGATGTTTGAATGACGATTCTATACAAAGCTCATTCCTAGGCTGGGTGTAGTGGCTCAAACCTGTAATCCCAGCACTTTGGGAGGCCACGGTGGGTGGATCATCTGAGGTCAGGAGTTCGAAGCCAGCCTGGCCAACATGGTAAAATCCCATATCTACAATAAATCCAGAAATTAGCTGGTCATGGTGGCGCATGCCTGTAATCTCAACTATTCGGGAGGTTGACGCAGGAGAATGGCTTGAACCCTGGAGGTGGAGATTGCAGTGAGCTGAGATTGCACCACTGCACTATAACCTGGGCAACGGAGTGAGACTCTATATCTCAAAAAAAAAAAAAAAGCTCATTCCTCATGTTAGGTACATAAATGATTTTCCAGCTGCTTCATTTTGAGTTGCTTTATATATTAAATGTATACTTAGTTCATGTTTTATAAAGGACTGTTTTCCTCAAACTTGGCTTTATCCATACTTTCAGTGGTTTTCCATTTTGTTCATGATTAACTCTAAATATTTTAGCCAATGAAAGGCCCTGTAATTTAGCGTACACCTTTCTAATCTTATTTATCATCATTTTTTCTCTTCAGTGAGATTAATGTGTTTCCCTGATCCATGCCTTTGCTTGTTCCTGCTGACCTGTTTTAATTTTTTCTGCCTATCAATACCCATAATTTTTGCTCCAGTTCTGATCCCACCTCTTTAGTAAGATCTTTGTCAATTATCCACCATGGCTATGAGTGATCTCTCATAAAATATACTTTATTTTTTGTTGTTTACAAAGCCAATCAACACTGGCCTCATAAAGTAAACCAAAAGCCCTTCATTTCGTCTAGTCTTATTCTCCAAAAGAGAACCTCTTAATAGTTCAGATTCCTTGGTATTTTTGTGCATATTTAAACATGTATTAGCTTATTTGGTCATTACTAACTTGGCCACCATATTGGAGAACACAATTCTACAGGATTAATTACATTAACTTTGATTTTTCTTTTGGCAAGAATATTTCAAGAATGGTAGTGTATAGTTCATATTGCATCATACGAGAAATATGCTGTCTGGGGGTCTCCTTTTGTGATATTTAAGTGGATCAGGGATTCAGGTATTGTCAGTCTGATCTACCCCAATGAGCGAGCCTTTCACTGAATGATTTTATGAATCTCATTCTTTTAAATTTTCATCAGCCCAGGCACAGTGGCTCATACCTGTAATCCTTTGGGAAGGATTACACTTTGGGAACAGGGTGGGAGTATTGCTTGAGCCCAGGAGTTCAAGGCCAGCCTTGGCAACATAAGGAGATCCCATCTCTACAAAAACAATTTTTTAAGTGTCATACATAGCGACTTTGCTGCCTGTTAATATAGTAAGATAATAGATCATTAAAAATCAGGCTGTAGAGCTGGACTGCCTGCTGCTAATGACTTTCAGCAAGTGAGTATACATCTTTGTGTCTCAGTTTTTCTCCAGTGGGAGAGGCCTAACAGTGCATGATACATAGTGTCTGTCAATGTTAGTTGTTATTAATATATTGGTTTAAAAGTTTGATTTTGCTGTTTATGTGCTTAGCCTTTGTTTGCATGGAAAATGCTTTATTGGGTAATATTCTTGGTATTCTGTTTGGTAGTGAAACCAGGTTACCTTGTAGGAAAACAAAACACCATTTAAATTTTAACAAATTTCCTATTTTTCTATAATTTTTAGTAAGAAAAACATGAACAGAAAAGGGATTTATTACATTGGCGTTTGTAATGAAGAAAAGAAACATTGAGCATGATTAGATATATATACTAGATATTAGGAAAGAAAATTGTAAAAGACAAAAAGAAATGAGTGACATTATCGTTTTTGATTGTGAACAGCTGTATGGTTCTTTGAGATGACAGTTAATAAACATAAGTGCACACAATCCTAAATAATTTGAGAGGAGAAGTTTCTAAAAACCCAATTTGGTGATGCAAAGGAATTCTCAGATAAGCAGAGCATAGATACAGTAGATGGAAGGGGAGATGCAGAACTAAAGATGATTATGAAACTTTATAAACAGTGGCTGGAACCACAAAGTAAGCTGAAGTTTCTAAGACAACATAAGTTGTTTTTAAAAAATAATATCTCAGGCCGGGCGCGGTGGCTCAAGCCTGTAATCCCAGCACTTTGGGAGGCCGAGGCGGGTGGATCACGAGGTCAAGAGATCGAGACCATCCTGGTCAACAAGGTGAAACCCCGTCTCTACTAAAAATACAAAAAATTAGCTGGGCATGGTGGCGCGTGACTGTAATCCCAGCTACTCAGGAGGCTGAGGCAGGAGAATTGCCTGAACCCAGGAGACGGAGGTTGCGGTGAGCCGAGATCGCACCATTGCACTCCAGCCTGGGTAACAAGAGCGAAACTCCATCTCAAAAAAAAAGAAAAAAAAAAAAAATCTCAATTAAGGTTAAGCTTCCAAAAGATCATCAAATTTTTAAGAGGTATGGTACTATTAGGTCTCATTTTACAATTGGCTGATTGAGTAAGGAGAAAGAGGCTTTAAGTTGGAAAAGATGTAACAATAGTATTAAAAGAATTACAGGCAATTGTTAAGCAACTAAGCAGTGAAATATCTGACCACTTTTTAAGTGCATTTCGTTTTCTTCATATAAATCAGTGTCTTCTCTTCTTCACCAGTGGTCTTGCGTAATTCATGAAATCATTGAGTAATATTTGAGAATGTAATGAAAAACATAACTAGTACCTAGAGATGATCAGATGCTAGCTTGATTTTTTAGAAAGGAAAAATGTGGCTACTGGAACTTGCAAGCTGGTAAACTTGTTATTGATCTTTGGCAAATTTCTATAAATAAATTTCAGAAGTTTGGGAACATTTATGAAAGAATACTTGAATAAAGAAATTTAAATGTGTTTACCATATATTAAATTAATTTTTTAAAATTAGGATTATCAGGTTGGATGAGTTAGAAAAATACTATAGGAAGTTTCTTAATTTTAGTGAAATATTTGACAGTCTGTGGCTGTATTTTTGGATAAGATATGTTAGCAAAGTGTTGTTTAAATTTAGAGTAAGTAGATCTATTTGTAATAGTAGATTGAAATCCAAAACTATTATTTCATTAGAGGTTGAATGTCACCCTTCGGAAATATTCAGAGCAATACAGTGGCATTGTCTATATCTTGTCTCAACATTTTCATAACTGATCTGACTGAAGGTTTAGGAACTAGGTTTATCTACTTGTAGATTATTCAAAGATGAGCTTGAATAGCTGTTATCATAGAAGGCAATCAAGAATGTCTACCTAAAACTTTATCTAATTAATCTAGTGTATTTCTGTCTTTCCTTTGCTTACATTTTGATACTTTGTATGTAATATACATTTATAATTTAGGTTGCTTCAGAGAAAAGAAAAACTTTTTTTTTTTTTTTTTGGAGGCATAGTTTCGCTGTTGTTGCCCAGGCTGGAGTGCGGTGGCGGAATATCGGCTTACTGCAACCTCCACCTCCCAGGTTCAAGTGATTCTCCTGCCTCGGCCTCCTGAGTAGCTGGGATTACAGGTGCCCACCACCATGACTAGCTAATTTTTTGTATTTTTAGTAGAGATGAGGTTTCACTGTATTGGCCAGGATGGTCTCAAACTCGTGACCCCAGGTGATCCACCCACCTTGGCCTCCTAAAGTGCTAGGATTACAGGTGTGAGCCACAGTGCCCAGCTAAAAAAACACTTTTTTTATTTTTATTTTTAATACAGGTGAGGAATACCTCTGTTGCCCAGGCTGGCCTTGAACTTGTAAGCTCAAGTAATTTTGCCGCCTTGGCCTCCCAAGTGTTGGAATTATAGGCATGAGCCACTGCTTCCAGCTCCCCTCCACCTCCCCCTCAAAAACAATTTTATTTTTTTTGTCTGCTAGATATTTTTACCAAATTATTTTATGAATTGTATGTATCTCTCATTATAGCATAATATTCTCCCATTTATTTATTTTATTGCATTTTAGGTTTTGGGGTACATGTGAAGAACATGCAATATTGTAGGGGAGCACTATAGCATAATATTCTTACTGATACAGATTTAATAATACAAACTATGTTGGAACAGTTTCTGCATAAGGCATGTTTAAATTTATTCTAGGAATATGAAGCACGGACAGGAAGGACCTGTAAACCACCACCTCAGTCTTCAAGACGTAAGAATTTTGAATTTGAGCCACTTTCTACCACTGCCCTGATTCTTGAGGATCGACCATCGTAAGTATTTTAGTGATAATCAGTAACACTGTTTATATTTTAAATTTAATTTTGTTCACCATTTTACTTAAAAGATATTGAGAAATTAGATACACAAAAGATTTATTTTATACAAAATGTAATCCCTGTTGTGTATCCTAAAACTATTTGGGGAGAATATATTTTTCTTGGGTTTTTTGTTTGTTTAGAGACAGGGTCTTGCTGTGTTGCCCAGGCTGTTCTCAAACTCAAATGATCTTCCTGTCTCAGTCTCCCCTTCTAGGATTATAGGCATGCCCTGCTGGCCCTAGTAGAGAATATATTGTTGTTGTCTAAGACTTATGCATATTTTCTAGAGGTCTCTGTGAGTCAGTATATGAAACATAAAGTCTTTGTTCTTCATGTCTGTTTCTATTTCAACTCTCTGCTCCCCCATCTTAACATGATAGGGCAATTATTTTTCCTTTCTTGACATTTAATATGTATTTAAGATGTGCTTGTCTTTGCCCTTTGTACAATTAACTACTTAGGTAAGCAAAAGTTTTATTAAGGAAGTAAGAGTACACTCCAAGAGTGGAGGGGGTTGACCTGCCTGGGAGCCTACTATTATTATTAAGAATACATTCTTTTTTCTTTATTTGTTTATTTTTGTTTTATTTTATTTATTGTTATTTTTGAGATAGAGTGTTGCTCAGTTGCCCAGGCTGGACTGCAATGGTGTGATCTCAGCTCACTGCAACCTCCGCCTCCTGGGTTCAAGCAATTTTCTTGGTGCAGCCTCCTGAGTAGCTGGGATTACAGGCACATGCCACCATGCCTGGCTAATTTTTTTTTTTTTTTTTTTTTTTTAGTAGATGCAGGGTTTCGCCTTGTTGGCCAGGCTGGTCTCAAATTCCTGACCTCAAATGATCCACCCACCTTGGCCTCCCAAAGTGCTGGGATTACAGGCATTATACACCATGCCCGGCCTAAGAATACATTCTTAATGCTCAACAAAACATCTTAAATTGCTCTCTTCCCTTGGCCGGGCGCGGTGGCTCACGCCTGTAATCCCAGCACTTTGGGAGGCCGAGGCGGGTGGATCACGAGGTCAAGAGATTGAGACCATCCTGGTCAACATGGTGAAACCCCGTCTCTACTAAAAATACAAAACATTAGCTGGGCATGGTGGCGCGTGCCTGTAATCCCAGCTACTCAGGAGGCTGAGGCAGGAGAATTGCCTGAACCCAGGAGGCGGAGGTTGCGGTGAGCCGAGATCGTGCCATTGCACTCCAGCCTGGGTAACAGGAGCGAAACTCCGTCTCAAAAAAAAAAAAAAATTGCTCTCTTCCCATCTCTGTGATTCCCAATATTTCCCATGACACTGCTGTACATCAGAATATTGTCTTATTTATTATTAAACAAAACACATCCTAAAGCAAGATCACTTGGTTCTTAGCTCTTTTTCTCCTCTTTAGGTTCACTGGATCTATTATTTTTCTTTTACTAGAATTCTCTCTCTGTTCCTCTTTTTCTTTTTAATTTATTTTAATTCTTAGAGGGAGAGTCTTGCTCTGACATTCCAGGCTGGAGTGCAGTGGCACGATCATAGCTTACTGCAGTCTTGGCCACAAACAATTCTTCCACCTCCGTCTCCTGAGTAGCTAGGACTACCCGTGCACACCATTGCACCTTTGCACCTGGCTAAATAATTCTCTCTCTTTCTTTCTTTTTTTTTTTTAATGTAAAACTTCCTAGCGTTTCTTGTCATTTTCCTGAACTGGACCTTTTTCTACCCATTGTCCTGATGAACATAATAATAGTCTGGAGCCTAATAGAAGGGTGTAGAATATTTTTTGGACATTGCAAAAGAAAAAAAGCTGGACCTATAAGTACGTTATTCTTTTATTCTGTTTACATCCCCTTATACTAAAGAATTGTCCCAATATTCCTTATTTAGGATTTGATGAATATGTTTATATTTGTCTTTTCACTGTTTAAAAAAAGGTTTTTAGAAATTTATTATGAGAACATGTGAAATTTCATTTCAGACTTGCTGCCAGGGATGAAAATGAACCAGGCCAATTCAAAGACTCCTTTCTTGGTGGAGATATTGTGGGAAAACAAGAGTGGTTAGATAAACAAGAAAAGGATAACTTGTTAAAGATCTTTAGACTTTTGCAACTATCAGCTGAGTGTGTAGATAACTAAGTTCCCAGAAGAGCTTGATTAAGCTTGTTAAAATTTGTCCAAAATGGTTTATGCTTTTTCCCAGAAATGTTAATTTCTTCCCAGAAAGCATTTATGAACATATCACTCAAAAAGTTCTGTTCTAGACAGTGTTGGGGACAAATCTTTCTTTACACCATACTATTTTATATCATACTTGTCTCTTTAGGTTCTGCCTCCATGCCTTTGCTCCTGTTATTCCCATCTCTCAGAAGGCTTTTACCTTATTTTTACTTCTTACTTACTCAATCCTTAAGGATTAGGCTTTATCTTTTCTATCAAGTCTTTGGTGATTTCTTTAGCCTTGTTGTATCTACTTATCTTGTACCTTTCTTGTAACACACAAACAGTTCCTTGAAATAATGTTCAGTGAAATTTGCTTGAAATAATATGGTAGACATGATAACATTATGAAAAGAACAGAGTGTACAAAAATATATAAACAGCTGAAAAAAGTACTTTTCACTCTATTGAACTATCTGAAGTTATATTAATTATAATAAATGTTAATAGCTTTCATTCTGTTTCTGTGTGTTTGCTATCTCTAATATAGAGACTGAATTTGGTCTCTAGTATGGTTATGTAACTGAGACCAACAAAGTTTTTTCATGGTGTTGGAGTATGGGGGTGTTGAATCACTTATTTCTTCTTCTTCTACTTCAACCAATTGAAAAATAAATAATGGAGAACAGAAGAGAATGAAACCTTCAATTTTATTAAGTATAAAACCAGATGAGGGGAAGAAAAGTTCACTTGGGAATACATGGGTACAACGTGAGTACTAAAGTGGAACTTTGTACTTTATCTTCCTCAGAATGCTCTTCTAGCAGACTTGGGTCAGCTAACATAGCTCAAGAAGCTAGAACAGAGACCTGAGCAATCTTAGGTTTCTTCTCTTTATGGATGCAGGCAGGTTCAAGAGTCCTGTTCTGCTTTTGTGTCTTACCTACGGGTAATGCCACTACTTCAACTATGAGGTGGCATCTGAAAGAAGATAGAAATTACTCTACAGCAGGATTCTCCAAACCCCAGGCCACAGACTGCTTCTGGATAGGAACTGGGCTGCACAGGAGGAGGTGAGTGGTAAGTGAGTGAGTTAGCAGGCAAAGCTTCATCAATATTTACAGTCACTCCCTGAGCTTTGTCTCCTGTCTGGTCAGTGGCAGCCTTAGATTCACATAAGGGCATGAACCCTATTGTGAATTATGTATGTGAGGGATCTAGGTTGTGTGCTCCTTATGTGAATCTAATGCAATGGTCTGTCACCTTTTCCCATCACCCCCAGATGGGACTATCTAGTTGCAGGAAAATGAGCTCAGGGCTCCCACTGATTCTACATCATGATGAGTTAATATAATTATTACATATTGCAATGTAATAATATAAAGTACATGATAAATGTAATGCACCTGAATTGTCCTGAAATCATCCTCCCATCACAGTCCATGGGAAAATTGTCTTCCATGAATCTGGTCCCTGGTGCCATAAAGGTTGGGGACCAGGGATCTAGACCATGTGGGAGGTCCAGATGTGGGATGTGAGGTTGTGCAGAAAAAGAGGTCTATTTAGATCTGCAGATTTCACCTTAGTAAACAGAAGACTAGGTTTCCTAAACTGTGCCCAGCAAATCATTTGCTATGACTTGTAGAAAAGAAACAACAGAGGAGCTAAGCGTGGTGGCCCACATCTATAATCCCAGTGCTTTGGGAGGCTGAAGCAGGAGGATTCTTGAGGCCAGGAGTTCAAGAACAGCCTGTACAAAATAGTGAGACCCTGTCTCTACCAAAAATAAGCCGGGTTGTGGTGGCACATAACTGTAGTCCTAGCCTACTTGGAAGGATTTCTCGAGCCCAGGGGTTTGAGATTACCGTGAGCTGTGATTGCACCACTGCACTCCAGCCTGGGTGACAGAGTGAGACCCTGCCTCAAAAAAAATAAAATAAAATAAGATAACAGAGATTGCAATTGCAAAAGGGATTAAGCTTTACACCAGCAACATTTCATCTTATGTGAAGAGAAGGATCAGGCCTATTTGGTGAAAGCCAATAGGTGGTTAGAAATCTTAAAGGCAGGATTTGTAGTTAAAAAACTGGAAATGTAGGACAGGCGTGGTGGCTCATGTCTGTAATTCCAGCACTTTGGGAGGCTGAGGCGGGCAGATCATGAGGTCAAGAGATCAAAACTATCCTGGCCAACATGATGAAACCTCATCTTTACTAAAACTACAAAAATTAGCCGGGCATGGTGGTGCGCAACTGTAGTCCCAGCTACTTGGGAGGCTGAGGCAGGAGAATTGCTTGAACCCAGGAGGTGGAGGTTGTGGTGAGCCGAAATCGCGTCACTGCACTCCAGCCCGGTGACAAGAATGAGACTCCATCTCAAAATAAAACAAAACAAAACAAAACTGGAAATGTAGTTTTAATTAAGCTATTTCTAAACTGGTAAAATGAAAATTTTTAAAGGTAAATTAAATACAACTATCAATCAAGGAATTTTCTGTATCTTAAGGGCTCAGAGTCCAATCAGAAAAACAAATCAATGTGGTAATTTCAAACAGAGGAACTTTAATAATTTATTGCAAGATTATTAAAAGGACTAGAAAAGCAAAAGAAGAGAATATAGGTTCAAAAGATTAGTAATTCCAGAAAAGTATGTACTGTCCTGGGATGTAGAAGCAAAAGAAAAAATAATATTACCCAGAGTCCAGTATCACTATTTCCTGAAAACTAGATTTATATTTAGCTTCTATTTTTTCCTATGGTCTTATTTTCTTTACAGTAAATAAAGTTTTTCTTTTTTAAAAAAACATAATA